CAGACTACCAGTCGAGGAGCGATTCAAGAAATCTGCCAACATTAATGACATCTTATGGCATGTTCTAATCGTATCCTAGTAAATAATTAGGTATTATTTAGAGTAGGATTTCATGACTCTAAAAAATATATAAGTTCCTGAGGGAGTTCAACATGAGAGTCTTTACCATTGTGAGGTTTACTGAGCATCTGCCAGCCTGTAGTGAAGTGAGGAGGAATCTGTAGCGCGGGCGGTTGTTGCTGCCTTTGAAAGTGCGAGGACTGGTGGTTGTCCCCCTCCCAGTTCATAGGCTGCCGAGTCTTGGTTCACCGTGAGAGTATAATCGTGACGGGTGCTGCTTAAGGTCGGCGTTCAGAGGATTCTTGACAGCAGCGCTCCAAGAACTGAATTTACCACGGTGATATGGCGACGATACTGGCCCTACTTGATAACTTTCGGGAGCTGCATCTCCAATAGTAAGCCTGAGTAATTATTGTATTTGATGTTTGTTTTTTATATCTAATTTAATGAAGTCGAGCGTAGTTTATGCGGCTATTTAGTCGATGCACGTTTGTAAGATTTGAGAAAATGATCTGACTGAGTATATAGATCGTTTTCACTGTCACGCAACAAAAAAAACAAAAAAAAAAAATTGGAAACCGTCCAGTGGAAGAAGCGAAGGAAAAGAAATGTTATAAAAGAATAATTTTTAAACAATTTGTCCAGGTCTCAGGTCTTTGTGGCCCACAGTTTCTGAGTTATTTGCCGAAACGTTTCACGCACCTTTGTAGAGCTTTGTATGGAGACGCCATATTGGTGTACAGTTTTGGTGTACCAAAATGGCCGCCGAAAATCAACAAAAACATCTGGAGTTCACTTTTTCAGTAAAAGCTCCTTCTTTTCACTCCAGAACTAGCATACGTACGCATAAAAATATATTCTAATACTTGGAATGGTTATTCTGCTGAAAATCAAGAGGAAATACTTTTTTTCAATGAGACAGCATTCCTATTTTGGTATCACGCACTGTGAAAACTCGGAAGTTCAAATTGCTGTATTTTCGAAATGAAACATGCTACTGGAATGAAAACTTGTACAAAGATTTACTTTTTGTTTATCGTCAACCTAGTGTAAATAAGAATTCTTAAAATCTCGCTATTTTGACTTTACAATTTGATGACATCACTGTGAAAGTCATCTATAAGTTTGAGTATCAGGTTTGAATTAATAAGCTTACAGAACTTTAAGAAGCTTTTAGACATTTTCTAACCACAAATAGAAAGAAAACGTTCCAAAGAATATTTAGCTATAATTCTGGCTGTAAAAGGAAGCTCATGTTAAGATTGGTCATTTGACCAAGTTTGGTGCTCTAAGGTTGAACAGGGATCAAGTTATGACTCTTGAAACATGGTTAAAGATCCATACAAACGTCTATAATTTTGTAACAGCGTCCGCCAAAACCATATAAACTCTTTAAAATTTTTCAGTTTTTCGTTTAAACTGTAAAATTCGTCATGCATCTACTACTTGGAATGAACTAATTAGAAAATCACTGTGTCTGCCCATTTTTAGGAATATTACAGGAATCGTTGGGGGACGCTGTCACAAAATTACAGAGGTTTGTATGGATCTTTAACCATGTTTCAAGAGTCATAACTTGATCCCTGTTCAACCTTAGAGCGCCAAACTTGGTCAAATGACCAATCTCAACATGACCTTTTATATGGTGGTGTCAGTTTATCGATTTCCTTTTTAAATTCGAAACTCGCCCCAGTTCCCTACGCAACTCCGAAATGGCCAATCGGTGATTTTGGAAATTTTTTGAACGGTTTAGCTAAAAGCCCACGCGTGCTTCGATAGTCCTGAATATTGAATGAGTGCAATTTGTATTGCAAAATTGTGAAATACTGCATTCTGTCCGAGGTCTGTATCATAAAAACAGTGCCTCATAGTACTGTTTCACCTCAGATGTGATATATAAATGCTATGAAAGGTTGGTTTACGAGCACTTAGATTTGTTGACAAGATTTTGTAAAGTTAAGTTGTCGAACGCAAACTTCGGCCTGATTTTTCCCAGGCCTAATTAATCTACGGTGATGAAAAGCCACTATGGATCTTAAATGTGATCGAAGATTATTGCTATTTTTGGGTGTACATATGACGCTATCAACTCGAGGTAAGATTTGGTTCACTCTTGGGCTGTTTGCAAATTATTTTTACCTAAAACCAGTTAGCCTTTCTCTAAAAAGTCACATGAATGTGCTCTAAAGTTAACTGAATTGTGGAATACAAGTTTATTGTTTGATTTAAATTATAATTTTATTAATGGGAGTTTCACTTTTAGCTCTGGCTAAGGGACAGACCATTAGAAAAGTTATGGGAGGGGAGGGGAATTTTCGAGCCTCAGGAATTTTTTTTCGTTATCAAATTCCTTGTAAGAATTTTTTTTTAGGCCATAGCATGAATATTTTTTAGGGTTAAGCGGCGTGCAAGAATTTTTTTTCATTTAATTTTCCCTTGCGCGAATTTTTGTACCTCACCCACCCCCCTCATAAGCTTTCTAATGGTCCGTCCCTAAATCTTGACTATGTATTAACATTGTTTAGACACTCTTTTGCTTAAAACATTTCTTAATGGTCCTTTTCAAATAACTCTATTGTTATCATTCATTCAACTTATTTCTAAGTTCCTGATTGGCTTTTTACGCCCGAATTATTCTTCGTGACCTGCTAAGGGACCAGTCATAATTTAAGTTGGAGGGGGGAGTGGAGGAGAAATTGTTTTTTATTCCAAATTTTTTCCAGACCCCCACTAATAGCACCCATGTTTTTTAGGTACCCCCCTTCAATCATGTTAAAAGATTTAAGGGCCCCCCTTTCTTATACATAATACCCAAATGGTAACAGGGGCACCCAACGGCAATTTTCGGGAAAATATCTGTTCGGAAGACGATTTGAGATCTAGAATTTTCGGAGCATTTTTTGTAAAATTTCTTGCTTTCCTGCCTCTCCTAGGATTTTCGAACATCTACAAAATGGTATAATTACCCATTTTTAACGGATTTTGACCCTGAAAAAGGCCACCTAGAATTTTCGGGAGCCTTTTCCTGGCTGAAATTTTCGAGAAGGTAAGTTTTTATCCCTATAATTTTCGGATCACTAGACTTTCAGCTAGGAAATCCGAACAGAAGAAAGGTTTTTAGGCGATAAAAATATGCCTATATCTACCGTTTGAATACTAAAATACGTTCAACAATGTTATGTTAAGTGGTTTTGAACTATATCCTCGTTGGGTGCCCCTGATGGTAATAACAAATAACATTTTCTTTAGTTTACCGCTCTTACTCACTGTCACTTCCGAATGTGCCAACTAACAACAGAGAGGCACTTCACACTAAACTGAGAAAGAGATTTCACCTAGAGCCTCTCAAACAGCTTATAGAGCAAGGATATATCAGTGATTGTGTTATAATTGAGATAAGACAAGCCATCGAAAGGTGAGAGGCCGACAGGACCGCTTCAAGGAAGAAAGAAGATAATCAGCCAAAGCTTACTGCTTTTTATATGAGCAGTACATGCTCTACCAGCAAAAAACTTGACGGTGACACAGACAGTGAGTCCACATCAACCTCATCTACAAATGTTGATTCGGATAGTGAGATTGCATAACATGACTTTATGCATGTAATCATTTGTTAAAATGCCGATGAAATTGTTTCAGTGTTACACAATAATGGATGTTGTGTTGATGCACCTACTATTTGAGCATTAAATCTTTTTGTCAAAATATAAAATGCTGATTAAATTGTTTTAGTATTACACAATATAGGTCTTTGTGTAAAACTGAATCAAAATCAGGTCCTTTAATACTCAAACATCATGCTGCTCAGTAGGGATGCTACTTAAATGAAACTTGAAGACCCCCCAAGGTCATCTTTTGGCATTTTAAGGCCCCCCATATTCCATCCAAAAAAAATTGAAGGCCCCCCAATTTCTCCTCCACCCCCCTCCAACTTAAATTATGACTGGTCCTTAAAGCTGACCAAGCAATTTTGCAAAAGTAAAAGGCAGGAGAGAATAATGGAACAGCGATTGAAACGCCCAGTCTAGCCCTTGGGCCGGATATGTGAATTGCACCAAAGTTATTTTTAGACCAATTAAACGCTTGGAATTATTCGGAAAGTTTCGGAGAGGTCGGCAAACTTTTATTTCGTGTTGCATACATAGAATTCAACAGTCGCCATTACTATGTTCTGCATTGTTTGCTTTGAGGCAGTCGCACTTGGACTTGATGACGTTTTAAACAATCGACTGAAGTATGTGGACGTCCCAGGAAGACTTCCATTTGGATACCACCTTCAAAAATAACTTATGTGAAAGTCCCATAATTTTCTCTTGGTAAAGGTAAACCTATCAATGAGACACCTAGAGCTAGTCCCTGCCTTTTTCACTCTTGTTTTAGCTGATCATCTATATTTAAAAAGGGAATCTCTCTATAACAGACACATTGTACTAGTCCCAGCGGTTTAATCAACTAAGAGACAGTTGACTGTGAGTACTCTAAAGTTAAGACAAATTTAACCATGCATATGGTTCGCGTTCCTCTTGAATACATTGAGCGTTGTCACTACTAAGATTCCCAGGCTTTTTTCCTTAGGCAAACAATCCATCTCCTTTATTGCATTTGGAAAGACCTTCCAACTCATTTTAATTTACAACTCAAGTGTGTCTGCATTTCCGAAGAAAATTATTCGTTATCAGTACTATCAGAACAACAAATGAAATAAATTTTCCTTATGATGATGACGCGTCATATACATGTAAATGAGGTCTTCCTTCTTTTCCTTCTTTACTTTTTTTCTTTTTGTATTTCTTTTGAACATTAATTTACCGTGCTACCTAGAACCTAAATTGTTGAGGGAGGTAACAAGAGAATCAACTGGTTCATTTAGCTTCCTAGCTTACACATTATTTTTAATACAAAAAATCAACATCGGCAAGAGTGTAATAAAGATTATTCTATTATTCTATTTGAACTTCAGTTGTTGAAGCGGCCTTCAAGCTTCTTCTCACATCTTTGTCTTCTTTGATCACTCTGATTTCTATTTCCTCTTCTGTCGCATTCATTTCTACACTCCCATGGTCTCCAACGTTACCTGAAACAAGAAAATGCATATGAGGGCTGGAAGTGGGAATGGGGTTTACGTGGCGAACAGTCATCCCATGTAAGGAAATCCAAGACAGTCTTGGATTCTGGATTGCACGCCGTGGATTCCGGATTGATTCCACTATTTGTCCGTGAAACTTATATATTCTTGATTCCAATCTTAAGTAGGATTTCGGATTCTTTGAGTGGCATTCCGTATTCCAAAGCCCAGAATTCCGGATCCCACAAGCCAAATTGTTCGTGGTTTTCGGATTCCAAAATTAAGCGGACAAAAACTTCCCGGATTCCGGAATTCGGATGAGGCGAGAACAGCTTATTACCTTTCTGCGAATCGGTGTTGTTTACCTGAGACGAGAAAAATTGTGATCTTGAACCGAAATTGAAAGTAATGAATGAATCCTTTAAACCAGACCTTTCTCTTACCTTCATTTTGTCTGGGAAGATTCCTGGTCTTCATCAAATCCCAAACGCAGCCTGCCACAAACATCAACACAAGAAGAGCAGTAGAAACATACATGATGATGCTAGGTACGTCTCGATGGTCTAAGCCTTTTCTTGAACCGTATTCGTTCATACTAATTTTGGAGTTGTTCTCGCATTCTAGAGCTTCGTCAAAGCATCCATCTACGTGATGCTCTTCCACCATATCCTTAACACACGACATCATCACGCGAGGAGCACGTTTGAGCAATATTCCAACGTAGTGATATCCCAACGCCCGTACAACCTGAAACTTTTCGTTTGTGCCTTCATCAGATTCTTCACAGTCATGAAGAACTATTCTCTCTATTCCATGAGTTCGTTTTTTCAAGTCTTTAATCAGACTTCCGTTGGAATTTATCTCTGAAAGGCATTATACACAAGTGTAGGTATCGAGCATGAAATGCAACATTAAACAACATGACTATGGACTACAAAATCTGCTTCATTAGGCCAGGTAAGGAGCATGAAAAAGTAGTGAGAAGGCTGGCAGACAAAGAGGGTAACAGAAACGAGAATGTCTAGAAAGTAGTGCATCTACGGAAAATCTTACCCAAAATTTTTCAGGGTCTGTCAGGGTTTCTGGGTACACGATATACAGGGGTTCGTAGATTGGGAATACGGTATCTTCCTGAATATTCACATAAAAACAGATGTTTTCGGGTCATGATAATGCATACTACGTTTTCTTGAGGTGTGGATATATTGAGACATGTATCGAGGGAAATTTGGTGGAATTAAGGTCTCGGTAAAGGAAAGCGAGGTGCCCACAGAAAAAAATTCTAGTCGCGCGAGTATTTTCGCTACAAAGGCAAGTAATATATCAAATTAAAGCTAAAAGACTAAATTACCTTATAAAAGATTTTATGTTATCGAATTTCAAAAGGCACTTAAGTTTTTTGCTCTAGAACTCAGAGGTATCGAGTTTACTGCTGAAGCTCCAGCCCTTTCGCGTTCTTAAATATTCACTTCCTTTTTATTGCATCTGATTGAGAGATAAAAGACTTAAAAAAAGGGCGTGAGGAAATTTGCATATGTCTCGTATTAGCGGAATTATTGCATTTCAAACTAAAAAGTCGAATCTCGAGCGCGATTTACACAAAGAAACTGACATAAAATGAGTTATAAAGGGAAATCGGAAAATTCCTCACACTCTTTTTGAGTCTATATCATTATCCATCATATCTGAAAGTTTCAAAGCGATAGCTTAAAACCTGTCCCGACTGGAGGTCGGAGAATTTTGATTTTTGCGTCTAAAATAGAGTGAGGGTCACGCATAAGACAGGGGCTGTCAATCACTTTTCGGGCGCAACTTATGGCGGGAAACAGAAAAGGCTCATTTTAGAAGGGTTAAAAAGCACTTTCTGATTTTCTTTTTCTGCCAAAATAAAATTTAGGACCCACTCATGCCAAAAATCCAAAAAAAAAACAAAATCGAGCAATGTACTAAAATTTTCATTTACCGAGACCTTAAAGGTGTATTGGCTGACTGAACTGGTGTAATGGAATATTACTACCATCTGCTCATCACAAAATTAATCATCTCCAGATTACAGTACCTATTATCTTTGCTCCTTTGAGCTCTTCTTCAAAGAAACGCTTGCTATAAAAAGGGACTCCAACCTAATATTGAGATATAACTATGATTATATGCATGATTTAGAGTATATTTGTTTAGCAATAGATTTAATTTTTCAAAAACATTTAGCTTCCAAATTTTAGTATGTGACACAGCACATGCATAACATGAAGAGCAATTTTAAAATTCTCTGGGCAAAAAGATCCAACTGGGCTTCCAAACAGGGCAAAATAATTAAGGGATGACCGGTGTTTGTACAAGCCCTCTTAAATTCTCTCTATCACAAGAGGGGGTTCTACATGGTAATAGAGGCTCTTAACCAACTAAAGAAGAAAACGATAACCCTTTGTCACTCGGTGGACATTTTGTCTTAGGAGATTTCAAAAGCTTTGTTGATGCACGGCTAGCCTCGTGACAAAGGTCTATACAGTCAATAGACCGATTGCAAATATGGCGACGATTTCACCAAAGCAACGCTTTTCGGTAGCAACCGTTGGTAGGGGCTGGTCGCTTGTTTATATGCTAATGCAAGTCCGTTATCTTATTGTTTATTCACTCTGGAAACAATAAAAAACTTTCAAGAAGAAGTTACCGTCAGTTGGTTGTGTTAAAATAAAGGTCAGTGCTTTTTACTTTGCCTCTAAAAGTCGACTCCCGATAACTCGAACCTTCAAGGGAAATCGAAAAAAGTTCGATTTATCGGAAGCTCGATAGACTGTAGCCTCCCACGCAGACGTTCTTAGGGGTTCGTCACGCGTTCCTGCCCCACGAACGTCTGCTGGCTTGAGTGGAAAAAAAGGTAGACCAATCACAGCAGACCTTGAGAAATTTTGCGCTTGACTTTATAGCTCCAGAAAAGATCAGAAAAGTCTCATGAAAGGTGAAGACCTTACACTTTTAGAACAAACTACTCAGTTAACTCACAAGCGTTCGCACAGTGGCTACCCTTAGAATCTCGTTGAGAAAAATTACCTCGGAGGTTAAATTTGCTTAACGGAAGTAGGCTTTAGGGACGGACCATTAGAAAACTTATGGGGGGGGCGAAGATCAAAAAAGTTATTCGAACAACGGAAAATTCAATGAAAAAAAATTCATGCACGCCAATTAATCCTAAAAAATATTCATGCTATGGCCTAAAAATTCATACAAGGAATTTGGTAACGAAAAACATTCCTGCGGCTTGAAAATTCCCCCCCCACATAACTTTTCTATTGGTCCGTCCCTTACTACAAAACAATAACGTGTGAAAACAATTCTGCCTTTCGTTCAGTCTTACAAGGTAACCCCGCCGTTACGCCGTCACCCAAAGAAAAACTTTATGAGCAAATGACATCTAATCCAGCCTTTACAGAGAGAAATATGCAAAAAGCCAACGCTTATCTCCTACATTCTCGTCAGGAGCAAAAATCTTTGGTCACGTATCACACTCTACAGAGCTTGTACGTATGTGTTTCGCTTGTCAACACTTTGACTTCAACAGCGCCGATTGGATCTCCCATAATCTGTATGTCAACTCCAGCCGATATTTGCGAACAAAGGGAAAGGAATTCAGCAGACGTTCGTGAGGCAGGAACGCGTGACGAACCCCTAAGAAAGTCTGCGTGGGAGGCTAGATAGACTGCAAAACAGTCGGTTTTTTTTTTTCAAAATCGGTAAAGAAATCGGTAAAGCGTGGCGAAAGAGTCTTACGCGCGCGAAGCGCGCGAGCCTCACACGCTGTTTTCAGCCTCGCGCGTTCCAGAACTTTTGTTTGACTACTCGCGCGTACTTGAATACTGATGCTAAAATACGGACTGTTTTGCAGTCTAGAAGCTCGAAGAAAATAGCCGGGAGTAAGGAAAAAAACAGTTTTTACTGCACAATGAACATTTTAATCATAGTTCGTAGAAATTTTAAGTGAAAATTGAAAGATACTTCTAGATTATAAATCAGAACGTAACATAACAAAATGTTGCTTAATAGAGTACTAAAGTGTGACGTCATAAAAATGAAATTTCTGAAATTATGGGATTTGTCAGGATATTCTGAAAGAACAATGTCCAAGAGGCCTACTTGCCAAAAATGAGCATTTCGCGGCAAATTGTCTCTGAGATCGTAGCCCAGTTATACTCAGAAAACTCCATACAAACCCTTCTAATTTAGTTTGGGTCGACCCCAAAAAAATTTAGAAGGGTTTGTATGGAGTTTTGTAAGCATAACTGGGCTACGATCTCAGAGACAATTTGCCGCCAAATGCTCATTTTTGGCAAGTAGGCCTCCTGGACATTGTTCTTTCAGAATATCCTGACAAATCCCATAATTTCAGAAATTTCATTTTTATGACGTCATCACTTTAGTACTCTATAGAGCATGCGTTTTACTGTTTTGAGAAGTAAAGCTGTTTCACGTTAGATTTGTGACAAACAACATCGGCTTCCACTAGTAAACTATATGCCTACAAAACGTCAATGGGAATTCAAAATTCAATGTTTCGGACGCCAGTAGACTGTTTTTTCCCGACTTTTTAAGGGTTCAAAACATGGTTCGAGTTATCGTGGGTAAAATAATATAGAAATGGAATGGCTTGGTGACCTCTAACGTGGTGATTTTTGCTTAGGGGATGCTACAGACCATGAAACTTGAGGATTGAGGGAATAGCATCATCCTTTAAATATCGACGACCAGTTAAGGTTACACGAAAATCAGTTATCTTGAAATGCAAGGACCAGATTTCAGTACGTTCAGTTATCAGAAATGCTGGAGATACGTCTCGTTGAATTCTCACGAGCCACTCCTGAAGTATAAGTCGTATCGAGGATATCAGAAATCTAAAACGATAGGTTAAATGAACAAGTATTTTGAAAGTAGTGCCTTATGTCTTACAGCATCCGATGGAAGGCAATGATACGTGATCTTTTTCCCACCCGGCCCTATACGATAACCACTCTTGAAGCACAAAGGCACGCAACAACTATCCGGCATGTTTCACTATTTATAAATGTACAGCAAAAATGGCATGCAATCCAATTCTGAAAATTGAAGATCAGCTTTTAGAATGATAATATTTAAGCTTACATGTGAACCTTAAATACAATGAATGAAAAATATCAGGCAGTCAAAGTTATCGCGATCGCTACAAATGACTCTGTCTGTGATCGCTGTACGTCAGTTGACCGTTCAATTTAGCATCACAGAAAAACAGTATTCAAAGCGTACATACCAGATAGAAACCTTTTTAAGCGAAGAAAATTGACTTATTTTTGTCGAATTTAAAGGAAAAAACGCCTGAGAAGCTGCAGTCTTTCCAGCAACGGCACAGGTAAACACAGGCAACCGGCCCCTAGCAACGGTTGCCACCGAAAAGCCTCGCTTTGGTAAAATCGTCGCCATATTTGCAATCGGTCTATTGACCCCTCGAAAGGGTGCCTTAATATGAGTAAACGGCTAATGCAAGATACAGCTGCCTAAATTTTACAGTGGTTTGTATAGTGGGGGTATGTAACTTGGTACCCCCCATCACACAAACGCCTGCGGAGACATTTGCGACTTTGCAGAGTTATTTCTTCGTCCTTTTTTCCCAAATCATTCTCAAACTTGGCTATTGTGTTTATTTTAGGATCTTTTTTCAGCGGACCTGGAAGATTTTCACAAACGGGTCCATGTCAAAATTTTGAAAACCGCGTTGAAAGGGTCTATTATCGTGCAGGGAAACAGTTTGAGGTTAACTGTAAACCAGTGCCTTATTGAAGAAATGCTGTTGCTATCGATATTCTCTGTCAGTTATTTTTCTTGTTTGTTAATCTGTCATATTTGCTCCGTTTTTAAGCATGCATTAAGAAGCTGTTTATGCGTTTTGGACCCGCCTTTCCACTTTCAATCATTCCTTGTGCCCAAAGTAAAATGAGGGGCAGAAGAATTACTTTTTTCCCCAGATACATGTGATGTGGCATCAGTTCTTTAGACGTCATTCCAGATGTAACTTCGGCAGTGAACATTGAGAGGATTATCATGCCAACAATCATCCAGACAGCGGAATAAATACGAGCCGGTAGAGACTTGGGAGTCTTATCCCCATATCTGAAGACAAAAGGAAAGAATTATTCTACACTACCAAGAACAAGTTATGCAATCCCCAGGTTAACTTTTCTCGAGCTCGTAAGCCACTGCCTCCTATACGGGAAAAAATGTATGAAAATTAACTTTGTTTCATTTTCATTTTTTTTTTAATATTCTTCTACGTGTATTACCAGATAATGTCACGGTAATTCCGAGCGAAGCGCCGAGCGTTTTGACTTTATAATCTTGTCGCGCGCGAAGCGCGCGCTCAGTCTGCTAACCGCGCGTGGTCTTAGCCAGCTGCCAAATTCGAGGAGCAATAAATAAATCTTTCTCTGAATATATGCTTGGTAGCCGCCAATGACGTCATGGAGCATTTTGCGTTTCCAGGCAACATAGACTTTGCCGCCGATGACCAAGGCGCATTTCATGTAATATTGATACCAGGCTGTTGTGTTTACTCATCGTCTGTGAAACAATGTTTACCATCGGTGAATCACGAACAATTTCCCATCCAAATGACACAGAACTGTAAGCACAGCAAGTGCCTACAAATCCTCGCCGAGAAAGATTTTCCATTGAAACTCCTCGGGAGAACGCCGATTAAAATTTATCGGCGAGCGGATTGAAGAAGACAACCGCGAAGCAGAGAACATCGCTTTAGCACAGCGAAGGTAACGTCGTCAACACAGCGACCACAATCGTGTACAGAGGCAGCGACAAAGTACTACAATTACATTGTAAACGAAACCGATGAAGAGAGGGAACACCGACTGCCGACGCTTACAAAAGCGGCGGGGCTAAAGTGCACGTCACAGGTCACAGGTCAGGTCACAGGTTACAGGCCACAGGTCAGGTCACAGGCCACAGGCCAAAGGTCAGGTCACAGGTCACACAAAAAAACAATAGGACACTGGACAAAACTGTTCTGGACTGACGTTTTACTATACAAAAATAAAATAAGCCAAGGAACCTTGATGATATTTTTGTCCTTTAAACAATATTAAATTCCACACATGGGATAATATTTTCATGCTGATCATACAGCATATCCAAACTTCGTAACGAAATCACAAAGGTGTGCAAAATCATGTGATTTGTACGAAAAACAAATCACATGTTTTTCACTGAAAACGTAGTGTTGTCGTGTTATTAGAATGTCATCTCCAAATAAACCGTGCGGCCAAGATAACCGGGAGCGAGTCATTGAAATGCAGCACTGTAATCCTTTGATACATTCAAGTTGTAATGGCGGAATGCTCCCACCTAAGGGCCACGAGGCAAATCCAACAGAGGTTTTTCAAGCTGTTGTGCAACAGAACGTGAGAAAATGGCAAGCTCTTGGGAGAAGAGCCGAGAAATATGGTCCAGCAACTATTCGAGAGGCCCAAATAGCAGTGTCTGAAGTTCTTAGCCGAGTACACTTTAACACAGCAGTATTTTGTGACTGGTACGAAGCACGAGCAACAGGCCGCCATCTTCAAAAGAGGTAGAAGACTGATCTGGTGGCAAGAAGAGTTTAGTACGAGCAAAGTCTGAAGAAAGTTGCCGTATTTCAGTGGTCAAATAAGTTTTAGACTGTCCTTAAGTTTTTCTTCCGTTTTCCATCCACAAACACGTTATGATATTCTTAACGCAACAACCCTTCGTTTTGAGATTCGTTTTTTCTAACAAATCACGTGATTTTGCGTACCTTTGTGATTTCGTTACCAACTTTGGTTTTTGGTTTTGCGTGATCAACATGAATATATTTTCTCATGTGTGGGATTTGGTAAAGTTCAGAACAGAAAAAATATAATTGAGGTTCCTTGGCTTGTTTTATTTTTGTATAATAAAATGTCAATCAAGAACAGTTTTGTCAAGTGTCCTATTGTTTTTGTGTGTGATCTGTGATCTGACCTGTGACCTGACCTGTGGCCTGTGACCTGTAATCTGACCTGTGACCTGGCCTGTGGCCTGTGACCTGTAACTGACCTGTGACCTGACCTGTGACCTGTGACCTGCACTTTAGCCCCGCCTTTACAAAAGCGACGAGACTGGATCAGGAAACGCTTAAAGTTTACAGTCAAAATTATCTTCTTCGATGCAGCGATAGGCAGCAACAATTATGTACTCCAAGAATATCTTTCCAAAGACTCGGGACAGCCGATCGGCCTTTACACCATGAGCAACAATGGGTTTTACAGTAAGCTGTATTTTACAATCAACACTTTAGAACAACGATAATGTGTGACATGTTTAGGGAAGAGTTACATTTGTAAACAAACTCCTTGCTGAACAACATTTTCGTTTACAATTCTCATTACATTTACTTCCCCAAAACCATCCCAAGTAAAATATATTATCATTGTATAGCAGCCTTATACATAAACACAACTGTGTCTTTTTCGTCAAGCATAACAAAAATTTATTATTGCTCGCCTCCCATTTTCGATCCTATTTAATATTTGAAATTAAAGAACATCTCCATTTCGGATCGGAGTTCGGAGTGTGTGACATGTGACATGTGTGACATGACATGTGTTTGTGACATGACATGTGTGTGTGACATTTCGGAGTGTGTGACATGTCAGGAAAATTAATCATTCCCCGTAAGTCAAGTCAGAGAGTTTCAGTATAAGTCAGGGAAATTAAATGTAACTCTTTCAAAGAAGCCCGAGGGAGGTGACATTTCTGCATACTCACCAAAGTTAAACATGTTCCATTGGCAGAATATTGTATCAAGAAATCAAACGACAAGCAGATATAGGGTTTCCTATGACATCCATCCATTCTACACTTTACATTCACGAGAAATTCATGTATTAAGTAGGTGGACAGGTTGGCTGTGATGGGAGTTTGTGCGTTTATTTTGTGTAACAGGCACAGATGACATATAAAACAAAAGAACAAACCATGAAAACATACCAAGCAGATTTTCCCTGAACAGAAAACAAAGAAGTCTTTTGCTTTACATGATCTGTGTCCAGTACACGAAGTTTTGACTGGAATTTGGAATCCATTAATATTTGCACACATTGTCAATTCATTTGGTCAGGGAAAGTGTACATTTGATTGCCAGTCAGGGAATTTAAAAAAACTATGCCTCTGGCAACCATGTCTCGACAAGCTCATGCATGTTGATCGAGAATTGAAATACTGATCACCTTCAACATTACTTTTATGTGGACATTTCATACAAATTCACTCTTGCATGAGTATATATACTATATAAACACTTTCATAAATGATTTGGTATTTTTTACTGTGATAATTCAGTGCTAATGACGGTACCGTATAGTCAGTAATCATGAGTCATGATCACTTTCATAGTTCTCCTCAACTGCATCCTTAATTACATAGCCTGGAACCAGGCTCCGTTAGGACAAATATCACATATTACACATTAAAGATAGCATGTGTTTGCCTCATATTCGCTTGCAGTTATTCACTCTCACACCCATTTTCTTTTACTATATTACACATGTACATTTACTCCAATTCTCTCCCCCTTCCATCCCTGACATTTTATGCCCCCCCCTCCCGAGCTTCGCGAGGTTCTGCGATACACGTATTTCTAGTTATACCATTAATTTCTTACAGAAGTTAACAGTAACACAGACGCGACCGTTTGACCCAGTAAGGATTAATGTGGAGTTCTTGGAGAGAGTCCTACTGAATATCACCATCATCGTCGTGTCTCTCCGTGTCATAATTTCTAAGGCTGCCATGCTGTCTGCCCTATTCTTTGCCCATATTCTTGCTCGTCCAACCTGCTATGTTCCATTCTTTCTCCACAGTCCTCCTCCAAGTCGTGTCTCGCTCTTCCACGCGTTCTTCGATCCTAACGCCTACACTCGCCTTGTGCAATGCCGTCATTCTCACCCCACTCCAGAGTAAATGGCCTAGCCTAGCGCAAATTACTCCTACGTCGCCGCTCCTCACAAGTCATGTTGATGTCTGCTTGCTTACTCGGCACTCTTCTTTTTGTCCTCCATTTGATCTTCGATATATTTCATTGACAACGTAGGCTCCAAAGCTAGCCAAACTCTTCCACATCCGCCATCTGTCCACCGTTCACCACAATCCTCTCCTTGCTTTACGTGCGCCCATTCCTCAAAGTTTTACACTTTTGAGCATTACGTTTCACACTGTTTTTCTTCATCATGACTCAATTTACCACCAGCAGGACAGATGCTGTGTTGTTGTTGATCTTGTTGTTGTCTACAACTGCACGGTCAAAGCCTTGTCTGCTATTAAGGGGGCAATCTGAGTGTTTTTTGTGGGAAATGATGTTGATTCCTCACGAAGCGCCGGGCCACGAGGTTTATAATCTCGTCGCGCGCGAGGCGCGCGTGTATCACACAAGTATCGCAAGGCCATCGTGATTTTCTCTTGGCTATAAATCTATCGAGTTTGGCTGGTGTCCGCCTTGACGTCATTCAGAGTAGTTACGTCAAAGTGCATTATGGGTTTCCAGGCAACCGATTGGCATCGATGACAAAGCTCCGGGTTTTATTCAGGAAGACGGGTTTTTTCATATGTGAATTATAACAATGTTCACGGTCGGTGAATCACCACTCAATTTCTCAGGCAAATAAAAGAGAACAGCAAACTCAACTATAGTGGATTCAACAAGTGGCTGGAAATCCTCGCTGGGAAAGATTTACAAGCAAAACTCCGAAAGACCGAGAAAGTCGACTTTAAATTCAGGGCGAGCGACGGGACAGCCAAGGAAAAAGCTGTCAGCTAAAGACAGAGGATGTAAAGAGGCAGCAACAAAATACAACAATTACACTGCAAACAAAGCTGACGAAGAGAGGGAACACCAACTGTCGACGTTTGAGCAAAATGCGGTCAATAGAATTCGCAACGAAACCGAGCTGGAATGATCGAGAGGCAAGTTTACAGTCAAAATTATCTTCTTCGATGCAACGATAGGCAGCGAGAATTACACCATCTGTAAAATCGACATGAGGAGTATCTTTCTAACGGACTGAGGACAGCCAGGCGCGTAGCTGGGTTTTGAGAAGAGGTGTTCGTATGCGAATATTTCTTAACAGCGGGAAATACTGCGAGCGCCAAAGGCGCGAGCCTGTAGGGGTTTCTTAGGGCAAATTGCTCCCCCAGAAAATGTTGAAATCTAGAAACCTGGAAATTCTATTTTCAGTAGTCTCCACGTGAATATTTCAAACTCGATCAAGTCAAAAAGAACAGGTATTTTTAGTCATATTTCCGTTTGACTTGGAACATTCATACATAGTGATACATACCGGCTAAGTACACGAAACGTTTTACAAAACTCGACGTGTGCTGCAAGGTATCTCGGAGCAAAAGCTTAAGCCCCCCAATTCCCTGGCTCCGCTGTCTTTCTTCATCATGACTCAATTCACCACCAGCAGGACAGATGCTGTGTTGTTGTTGCTCTTGTTGTTGTCTACAACTGCACGATCAAAGCCTTGTCTGCTATTAAGGGGGCAATCTGAGTGTTTTTTGTGGGAAATGATGTTGATTTAGGAAGAAAATAAGTCAGGGTAGAAAAGGTATACACATAAACTAATACGTCTGCTTAAGGTAATTCCCTTGTTTTGCTCTGCGCACCCTCTACTGCGCATAACATTGCCACATCCAAGATGGCGGCGGTTCTTCTCAGTAGCGCGAAAAGAACAAACAAGGGCCGCTTTTGCAGAGCTAAAGCTTTTATTCGCCATAATAATGTGGCAGATCGGCCGACAGCTTCCTGGTTTGCTAACAAAAAACAAGAACATGAAAGAAACGTGCGTAATCCCGAAGTCTGCAGTGAAGCAATTTCACGTTGAAAAGGAGTAAGGGTTTTCCTACTCACATCACGTAACAGTACTCCTTTTACTTACCCAACAGTCGTGATTGTAACCAATGCCTACCAGGCTCCTTCACGAACTCCTCTCCAAAAAGACAAGGGAAATTGGCGCTGGTTAATTTTACGATCCTGATCAAAAATAAGATAGAGTGAACAGAAAGAAACGTGCGTAATCCCGAAGTCTGCAGTGGTTTTTCACTTCGCGGCCGTAGAGTTGTGGAATTATTAAAAAGTACTGGCTGAGGCTTTGGATTATCGGGGCTGTGAAGGCTGTGGGACAGCTCTACGGCTCTCCAACTGCATTAACGAGCCAGTATCTGGCCTGGGATCACTACTGTACATATGTTCAAACTCCGAGAGTGGAGGGTCAAATATTTCTGGAACAAATAAGATACACCGTAGCACCACAACCACGCGAGGGAGACCAGTAAACACGGGGTCTGCTGCTGAATTCGCATTTTGCTGTGTATAGAAACCAAACAAGCGAACATATGAAGAATAGGAATCAATAGTCTTTTATTCAAGTTTCTTTGTCAAGCATTATTGTGCAAAAGCAAAAAAATCCAACCCTAGCTCACTGGAATTAAACAGAACGCCGGCGCTGCAAAATGGTCTAAAATAAAGATTCATGACTCCAAAATCTCACCAAATCTTGACTTACCTCATTCCTCGGTATTTAATGTAATCTTTTCAAGTTTGAATTTCTGTGTTGGCGATATCAAACACATAAAAACAACCGAAAACAAGCTTGATCTCGAGTGCATACTTCGAACACGATGGGCGTTATTTTGTTTCTCGCCCCAGTCCCCACCGCGCAAATTATCCATCCTGACTTCGATCTCAAAACCATGTCCACCTTTCACAGCAGTTTGTGAGGAAACAAGCACGGTGACCCCCGATTTTTTTTCCCAGGTATTTGCTACGAACGGTCTAATAAACAACATATTTGAAGAAGAAAAAAAGTTTGATGGTTGAACATGTTTTTTTGGGAAAGTAGTTTCGTATTTGGTGTATTTGGGTCAAGGCGAGGACCTCAAGCTAACCAGGGAACTGTCAGGAAAAGCGCAATATCCCCACAACCAGGCAATCGAAAACGAATTAAATGAAACAATACTGCTTATTTGAATAAAAGAAGCTTTGTTTTCAAGATAAAATTTTGTGTTTCAAGTAACAACTACTTCGTTCTGTAAGAAGGGGATTCGAATTTTAAACGCGCAACCAGTAGAAATACCCCAGTTTTAGAGCCTGCTGACGCGTAAACAAGCACAGTGAACCCATCTTTTTATTGCGTTTTTTTAATGTTCATATCATGAATGTTGATTATGCCAAGTTTCAAAAAAATTTTGATGGTAGAACAATTTCAAGGGAATTACCTTAAGGGATCAAAGGCACCTTGTTGTCGTGGTGGACTATATGGTATTTGTATACTTATCATTCACTTTACATTCTAATTTTTAACAACCCCCAAATCCAATATTTTCCAAGTTTCCAAAAATTGAAATACCCCTTCCCCCTATGTTTATTTTTATATTAAAAACATTCGAAAAATCATCCGAAAATTCTGCAAAAGTTATTGAACCAAGGCTAACTATTAGTAACTGAGTCATTTTTTGATTGACTTGATATTTAACCAGACTCTCCCCTTAAAATCATTATATTTCTAGGTATTCCAAAACTTCTCATGATGATCCAAAAGCTTATGGAATCGCATGGAATCTATGACGTGTGCGGGCATTTTTTTCCCTTGTCCCTGTTTAGTGTTAGACTCCTCTCATTCGCGTGTTCTAAGTTCTTATTATAAAATCCGTTCTTTTGTGATTCTCTCTGTCGGCAGCCAGTCTGTTCTTTCGAACCCCTCTGCTTACATCTTTCCTAATCAGAACAAGTAACATCCCATGCAGAAAATGCCTTACCGTCTTAGCAACAGATTAACTCCTCTTCAGTTACTACTTAAGAAATAGATTCAATGTTGCCGTGCATCTGTTCAGTAATAGATCACAGAGGACGTCAAAATGTGGTAGCAACAAAGAAATGCGCTAATCACACGAAACGCGTATGGCCAATCTGAAAACTTTATTTAAAAGCACATGTAGCTCAGTGATTTCTAAAAATCCTCTAAAGCACATACCTAAACATCCAGAAAATTAATAAGGAACAATAAACGGTTGGCAGTTGTGCAAGCCATATCATACGGTCTTTTTTAACAAAGAAGCTTACGACTATCCTGTAATTATAAACGACGACAAAAAATGCAAAAACACAAAGCCTTGGCTAAAAATATTTTCTTTCAAGATTCTCTTTACCTCTTTCCATTTGAACAACAGCTAACAATCAGCCTGACTGTCCGAGCCGCGTATTCTCTCTTCCTGTTGTTTCGAGGTCGCGGGTGAGGACAGCAACGCTTGATACATTTTTTCGGCGCCTTGCACTAGTAGTCTTGAAAACACATACAGATACTGTACATTTGTTTTCTAAAGTGGCCTCCACAACATATAAACGGCAATTCAAATCTAGTGCGTTTCGGTATGAGTACTACTGGTACTACTACCAGGATACCTAAATTATTTTTAACTGCACAAACGGTGAATCCTCGGCGATTTCCGTTGCATGTGCCAAATGAAAGCATCGCTGATAAACATCCGATTTAAAACATCCAGATATTCTGCAGGAAGTTACGCTTTCGCTGTCAAAGGACTTTGTGCATTATTTTTCGCGTTCAAGATCAGGTCAGGTACACAGTTTGATACTGAACTGACTTGTCTACGCTCTGTAGAGACAAATCTCACACTTACCTGCCCCTCCGCCAAATCGTTTGTTTGTAATCTCCCAGATTCTGGGAGACACGTGACCAGCGTTTTCCAGGGTCTCTCTCCCTCTCGCTCCATAGGGCGGGTAGGAGAGAACACTGGGAACGAGGTTGAGCTGAAGCAATTTCACGTTGAAAAGGAGTAAGGGTTTTCCTACTCGCATCACGTGACAGTACTCCTTCTACTTACCCAACAGTCGTCATTGTAACCAATGCCCACCAGGCTCCTTCACGAACTCCTCTCCAAAAAGACAAGGGAAATTGGCGCTGGTTAATTTTATGATCCTGATTAAATATAAGATAGGGTGAACAGTAGCAACGACAAGGTAAGCTAGAGAAAAAGCAATAAAATAGAAGTCTACACTGGCGGAAAATTTCTCTCATTATCAACCGGAAACCAATAGTTTGCGGATAATGAAAAAAAATATGACTACCTGTGATGTAATTGCGGTTTTGGCCTCAATTATGGTGAAAAATTTCAAAATTCTTGAAAAAAGAAATTGCTACGAAAAATTGTGATACAAAATGCGCTGCTTTCAGACTCTTTCTAATAAATGGGATCATAACTCTTAGCCAAAGCAATTGCATTTTGCCCATGGGTACCAAAAAATAGCTATGAAAAACCATTTGGTGTATCATCCATCCATCCATTCCCCCCACTGGCCTTCACGAAAAGACCGACATCAGAAGGAACATCTTCCTGTCAAAAGGGCAACTCTTAATGCAAATTTTAGATTAATGGATAGGTAAGCCTTTTTATTATAAAAGACAATTTTCCAGCGTGTACGTGTCACTAGTTCTTAATTTCTTTCTATCCTAAATTTTAACTTCACCTGCCCAAATTCATTACGCTTTTTTATTCTTGGTTTGCAGCCATGTGGCAAGGTGGCCATGTTGTGTTCAATACAATAAACAATTTTTGGAAGTATTTACATGAAAATGGTGCAGTTCTCAGAGGAGAGAAACCCTTTCGTTCCTGATCACCTAGTACATCGCCGTTGTGACGTCTGGTGTATACCAGCAACATACTTGTCCTAGTCTCTATTTACTTCTTGTTTTCTGTGGCGGGTACCACGTAGTTGAAAGTATTATTTATTTTAACTAGTCTCTGCTTCATTTCAGCTCAGTCAGTAAGCAGTCTTAGAGAATAGTTAGTTCTACATGGCACCAACCGCGTCCCACACAATTACAACAACTACATAAAAGATAAGAAACCGAGATATTTACTTACAAGTAGCCATATAATAACTCCTGATATCAACGTCCACATGACACATAAGAGCAGTGTTATCCACATTCGGCTAAAGGAGGCATAGACCACTGTAAACATGCTGAAAGATTGCTTTTCCTGTACCAAATATGACATCGGAGACTTACAACTAAACACAGTCTTGCTTTTATCGTTAGTGTAGTAGGGGTATGTATACAAAATGTTAACGTAACGCTTTCGGACACGAAGTTCGTGTAAGCACTTTTGTGACACCATTTTCAGGAAAAATGACCAAGTTTCTTTTTTCCATGGCTCTTCGACCAGATCGTACTTCGTTTGAAACTTCACTCTTCCCCATGTGACATTTATGAAGAGGCGTTTTGAACCGGTATTTTTTGGTGCTCTAAAGTCGTTTTTGCAACATTCAGATTTTATAGTAGTTGCGTTTATCTGAGATCCGTTTCTTGCGCAAGAATCAATTATCTGCTTCCTGCAGGAAAAGTTGTAAAACTGCCATGGCAAAACGAATTCTTGAGCCTCTTTACAGCATTGCTGGAAAGTTTCAGTTAGGTTGATGCTGGCGCTGGTTGCATTGCACAATTCCTTACACCCAATGGCTCGTTTGGTAACATCATTTTTGCCATCACCTGAAACCAATATTACAATGAACACTAGAGCAGTTGTTCTTTTCATTGTATCCCCAGGCAAAAAAAGACTTATCGCTACAGCGCGCTTGCCTTGGTGTTCTTGAAGACGGTTTGTATATCAAGCAGATGGTAAGAAGGTTTTCGCAAACATCACCAATGATAATTATCATACGCTCTCCCAGGAGCGTAGCAGTTAGATGTTGCAATTAAGGACGCAATATTTGTCAAGTTTTCGTCGACCGAATAAGTTCTTCTGGCGTCAAACTTTGATAGAAAGACAATTGACCATTGCTCTAATTGTGGAAATATTTGCAGATATATATGTGCCATATTATATCACCTGTTTTAACAAATTAAAGGAAATAGAATTAAATGTTTTGGTCAGAAGAAAAATACGGTCGAAACCTACTTTACAAACTCTTCATTACTAGGCTGGGACAGCTTCCCGGGGGGTAAAATCGATACCCTGTTTAAGACAAAAATCCTGAAAAACATACCCTGGCTGGCCGCACGTCCCCATTAAGCCCTTATAAGGGAGTACCCCCCGGGCAGCTTCCTTGGTACCCAGGGAAAGCTAGATCTTATAATACCCAAAATTAATATTGTCTCTGAATTCAACCTCATCAGACACCCGTCTGATGCAAACAGTGGACATCGATCAACAACCTCACTCATGATGCGCACACTATTTTATCCACTGTGTGCTGCAAATGAGACTTACTTATTGCATCAATTCCTCTCACGGAATAAGAAACTCAATAATAATAATAAAATCGCTACGTGGAATCTAACACAGCAGAAGTTTGACTTAAGATTTGAATATTCAATAAAAAATGACAGTATAAACTTTTACTAAATGTCTGTTGCCTACTCAGTACCAAGATGAGAGCAATAAAACTGCTACACTGACGTTAACCCGTTAGAAGAAAAATGAGGATAGGGGGAGGAGGAGGTTCGTCAAGAACAAGACATCCATAACCTATAGCTATATACTTAGACTCGATTCGATGCCCTAACGACCCCTTTTTGCATACGGGTTATAACAATCAATCGCATTTCGTAATTGCTGTCACTATTTGCAATACATTAATCGCACTTAGATACACCAGGGCAATTTGTAATAAAAGTGTCTTTTTAAAGCTAAGCAACATAATTTAAAAAACACAACAGTAAAGTGGCGGTATATTTTCTGGCTATTATTTATTTCCAGAAACAGCCTTCGGCAAATGATAAGAAAAGATTAGGAGGTCAAGATGGCTTATAATGGGTTGCAGTGGAAATGAATTACACTATGGATTTGTTAACTACAAAAACAGCGGACAGGTTTTTGAAATAGTCAAGTTTGCTATCATTGAAAAATGGTGTCCCTCTAGGAAATCATTCCGTCAACAAAAAGTCTTCTATTACTTTCAAAGCCTAAAGGAACTCTTTCCGTATTTATAACTGTTTTTTTTTAAGTGAGGATGATATGTTACTTTTATCTTGACGTGCATATGGTAGAAACATGAATGTCGTTCAAATCCCTTGGAGAGCAATTTTCAGTACCCTCACAACCCAGAAAAGGTTTTCGCTAGTTCACCCGGAATTGAAGTACCAGAAACGTGAAAACATCCAACATGAGTTATTTTTACTAAGTTCAAAGAACCATATTACGTTTCTTGATAGAGCGACAGTCATGAGACAAAAGACAAATGGTATCCATATCTGTTTAAGCGCCTTGAAAACCGGGCTGGCAGTTCCTGACGAGATGATTTTCATGGCAAAAACGGGCCTAGGCAGGCCTTTTAATTTTTATTTGGCCATGTAAATATTATCGGAAAAGTTGCATTTATCAGGGTTTTTATGATGATGATCGCATGTAAGTATAGCGAGAAATTTTTCTGTTGCCTGTCGACTGAGACGAGCAATCAGAGTTGGGATATTGCAGACAAACTAGTAGTCTACTATGTTGGAAATTAAGCCCCTTTTTGGACTTCCCTTGGACTTCCCGCATACTAATTTGGATTTCCTGCATACTAATTTAGTGCCTTCCTCCATATATAATGAAGTGGATAGGTTTACTAATGAGCGTCTCCCTTATTCAATAGAAACAATAGACATGCCCAAACTTCTCCGTTATAAGTAACTTGAGATCGCTTTTCAGAACGTCTATTAAAAGAGAAATACGAATAACAGAAGCGATCACCTAGCAACGCGAGAAACAGGCTTAAACTGCGATATAAAAACAAAACACATACACAAAGTGGAGTTGAAAAGTCTCTATTTCAATTTAGTTCATGTCTTCTTATTTAGCTCTAAAACTCGGATATATATAAACAAAACACATATACACAAAGTGGAGCTGAAAACTCTCTATTTCAATTTTGTCTGACGTTTTCTCCGTTCTATCTCGAGGAAATGAAAAACTATTGAAGTCTTGTAATTTCACGCGCCGTTAGTCAGATAATTATGCGAGTTCACAAGCCCACCGTTGCATACAAATTAGCTCTAAAGGACAGACCCAAGGGAGCACCTTGACGTATTATTATATAAACAATTTGAAATCACTTAACAAGGATCAATTAAAACACGCGACTAATAATTGCTAGCAATAAAACCACGAGAGAGATACCGTTTTAAAAACTTTATTGAAAACAATGACATTGAAGAAAGGATCACTCTCGCGCAACCTTTATAGGTCAAACACCTTCGCGTCGGGCGAATATCCATTCAATTGCTTCAAATACTGGAAAGAAAATTTCATTGACAATATTGCTGAATAATTTCCATTCTACACTGCAACATGTATGATCTCGCACGATATAAACTAAATGAGCAACGACCACTGAGACAACATTTATTATTTTAGTAAAAGAACGAACAGCGCAAAATTTGTACAAAATTAAATACCGAACACCTTTGCAAACCCCTGGCGACGCTCGTAAGACAAAGCCTGCGTCGCAGAGGTAATCAAACCCCAGTTAGCAACGTCTGCGAAGCAGAGCCGAGATCATTGTTCCGAGCCGCCTGAGGACTCAACGAAACACCGGAAATGCGTTTCGAATTTCATTCAAGCCTGGATCTGGTTGGCAAAATGAGAACAGCTATTTAACAGGCCAATTATGGTACGTATTCAATCTTGGTACACAGGTGGGCCGGGCCGAGAGCAAGACTGTCAGCGGTGTTTCACAGACGGACTTAACCAGAGTTAAGTTTTTTCTGTGGCGCATGCGCAGGCTGGTAGGACAGCATTCTTTGAAAAGCGGGGACGTGCGGTTAGGAATGCACCAGTTGATCGTTGTGAAGTTAAGAAAAATCAATCAGTAGTTTTTCTAGCAATCTTTGTGACTTGCCGGGTGTTGGGAAAGGGATCACCAAATACATGGGCTCCACTCCACTGATAGAATCAGTGGGTGAAGTCGGTGAAGGAGCAAAGGGTTTGTGCAGGGAATTGTTGAAAGCAAAAATAAACGAAAAATATGTGCCGATTATTGTTAATCAAAGTAACCGAGGGACTGATAAACTGCAAGGCAGTTAAGCCCACAGTAACCAAGCGAAAAAATAAAATAAAAGGCGTTGGGGGGTTAAGGTACAACAATAGTGAGGGACCCAGTAACTGCCATGCAGCTGATGTCCACTACAGTATTAAAAATGGGTTGCCCTCCGTCCATGTATATTGGTATTGTGTAAATAAAAATCATAAGGAGAGTAATAAGGAGTGTAGAGTTAGTAATGGTTAGTTGTTAGTCGTTCTTTTTGTCCATCAAGGTAGAGCCATTCATCATTGTGTAAGTCAAAATAAAACCAAATGTGTGGCGGATTTGTTGTCCACTTTGTTGCTTAGAAAGTCCAGTTGTCGAGCGCGTTTTTCGGTTTTTTTTCTCTGAGGTCCAGTGTTGTGACGTTAAGATCCAGTGTGAAATGAGGTTGGGTGAGCAGCCATTGCCAACTAAAAATAAATATAGTTTGGAGGTGTCTTTGTCGCTGATAGGTTTCTTCCAGAAAATTAACTAAAAATCTTCTGGCCAAACAGAAAAAGGATAAAATGCGTCGCCGTTGATTGAATTAAAAAGATTGATGTGCGGGAGAGATTACGGACGTGGTGATAAAAGTGAAGTGAAGAGTGGTTGTCCATTGTACTAGGCAGTCTGTTAAGATAACATTACATGAGGGGGTGAAGTAGAAGGTGGAGATAAGGGCATCAAGAAGTTAAGTCGTAAGTCAGTCTTAATTAGCATCATAAGTTTGATAGAAATTGTCCTATTGTTATTTAGGGAAAAAGGAAAACGGAAGAAGAACAAAGAGAGTGTGAAGGAGAATGGAAATACCCGGGTTTGGTAAAAAACGATGCATCGACACCAAGGCTCTTGTAGTGTTGTGAATAATCAGGGGTAAAGTACAACTGAGCGAGGATGTTTCTAGCCCGGCGCCGACTCTTTACCCGGCATCCTCTATCTCCTCCCACATTAACACTTCATATAGTTTCAATGTGGTGGCTATCAAGTACAACTTATCATTTGCATCTTCTCTCAGTCTTTTTTCTATTTCTTTCATTTTTACTAATAATCTCTTTACTTGTATATACTAATTATTAATAGTTGATGCCTTTACAATATACCTTATTAGGGTTTAGTTACTATTACCCCCCCCTTCCCACGCCCCCTCCAAGTTTTTCCTCTCTCCCTTTTTTTCCAGGACTTGACACTGTATATTTGTGTTAGACATAAATGCATTAGAAAATAACAATTACACTTCATCCATTATTATACTACCTCAATACCTTCAATACCTCCTCCAATTCAAAGCTGTAATGGACATAGCTGCGCCATAGCAGTTTGTGGGTCCCTCACTATTGTTCTCAGTGCCCTAGCCCACTTATGTTTTTCATTTTGTTTTTGTGCTATGTTACCGTGGGATTAGCTGCATTGCAGTTTAATAGTCCCTCAGTTACTTTGCTTAACATTATCCTCACCTATTTTATGTTCAATTTTTACTTACAAAATCCCCCGCACACTGTGGGGAATCTATCAGTGGGGGGGGCACGTATTTGGTGATCCCTCTCCGAAC